CGAGTGAGCTACGCGCCTTGCCCGGCAGCACCAACTCACCGCAAGGCAGGAGAGACACTGCAGTAACAAAAATGTCAACTTTTGTTTAAAAAACAAGCATTCTTTCGGCCTTTGCTGCACCACTTCAGGCTTTCAGAGGCGTCTATACTGTAGCAATAATAATGCCAGCTACGAGTCCTCCACCCTCTGCCTGGCTCCCCCTTTTCCGTGCCATCTCAAGCTCTAACGACCCCTGATTTGCAAGCCTTGGAATGGTCTGGCCCATTTTTATTACACCCAAAGAAACACGGTGACCCTGGGAATTAAAAAGGCACCTCCAACCCCATCCATAACCACAACATTCCTCAAAGAGAAGCAGCAAAACCATCTGCAGCATGCCTGGAGGTCAGTAAAAACTTTCTCGCTATCGTTGACCGAGGCAGCTACGCTCGCCAGAGGAGGAGCAGAAACAAGCACAAAGCATTGACAGTCGCAGCCGGGGCAGGTACCGGACCAGGTCTGTGTCCCAGTCCAGCACCAGCTGAGGTTCTCAGCACTCCCAGGGTTGCTGGTGAGAGGTGCACAAAGGTCCTGTCTAGCGAAACGAGGCCTTACCTTCCATGCTGGGCGCCATGTTCCCAAGTGAATAACCACCTTCCTTCAAACACACCAAGAGCTCTTCTCCTGGCTCAATTTCTTTAATAACTTTATAATAGATCTGGGAATCAGAAACAAAAAATTGAGAGACATGTTAAATATGCGAAGACTTGCATTTTACATTTTAACCAATAACGCAAATTATCCCAGCTAATAGGGGAGGCTGTCACTTGATCTGTGCAATAATTGCTACTGAGAGCTCTTTTTTCTGCGGTTATTTTCCTACACGTGTGTCAGCGTTTCCTGCAGCTCGGGCAACGGAGCAGTAACAGCCTCGCTCCTTCAAACTGCGCACAATCCTCACACGGTTCTCCCTGCCGCCTGTGAGCTCCGGGGATCTGTCACAGCGAGGGGCGATCACGCTGACAGAGGGAACCGAGGCACTCCAGTCCCTGCTCCTCTAAGCCGACACCGGCCTGACGAAGAATCGGCACATCGTCGTATCTTCACGGAGTTGCTCTGCAGCTTACCCTCACCTAGGGCCTGAGGACCTGACCGCTAAAGCCAAGATCCGAACCACCCCGCGCTCCTGCCCAACCTGTGCCTTCGCAACGGCAGCGAGCGCAGCGCCGCTCGCCCACCTTGCCCCAGAACAGACCCAGAGGGGGGAACGGCCAGGGACCGCGCGCCAGCTGCACGCCCCGATCACGTTTAAAGGCTGCAGACCAGGGTTTAAAGGACACCTCGGCCTCACGCAGGTTTCCCGAACCAAAAGGCGTTCTCCCGCTCCAAGGGTGCATTTCTCAGAAAATACTACAACGAGAAACCCCCTTTCTCCAGGGTGCAACAAGTCTCACACTGAAGGCACCGGCCCATCAGCGCACGCTTTCACGCACCCCTCTTCCCTGCTCTGCCCCCAGAGCAAGCAGCCCCCCGGGCAGCCCGTCCAGCGGCACCGGGTCAGGCGCCAGCGCAGCCCCGCTGCTCCCGCACAG